GGTCTATGTATACTTTGCAGTTCCTTAAAGTAATATAAAAAAATAAAAAAATCAATCCCTGGAATTGAATAAGGCCAAACATACTGAGCAACTTAACCATAAACCACAAATAAAACCTTCTCTTCTGTATCATTAACAAGCTACAAACCCCTTTCTGTTGCTAAGTTAACGTTCGCTAACTCTGTAGGAAAGGTTACTATTCCTTTTGGTTCAATACCTGTAACCATCATTTCAGCTCAAAGAGCAGAAATGTTAAGCCAGACATACACTGTACAATATTTCCAATAGTTGCACGCAGCTACAGTTTAAACTGTACCACAAAACTGCAAGGTTCACAGGTCATGATTTTTGTTCTTACACTGTAAGGCCCCGACGCTCTGATGCAATCTACCTGCTCATACTGCATATCCAAAAACCACATGTCGGACTGAGGACCGAGAGATGCCGCTAGTCAGACTCATCAATCTGGAAGAAGAAGATGAAAAACTCCTTTGTTTACACTTGCGGCTCCTGGTAAATCGGCTCCTAGATGTTCGTAGATCTCCTTCAAAAGCAGGATTTGCCCACGAACACCTTATGATGGCCGACTGAATTTCAAACATTTTTGATTTTCTCCTGACCTTATGATTTCTGATCAGGAGGTGATCGCGAGAGGTTTATAGCCCCTCATTACCCCTTGTGTATACTACACAGCGCACGACGCACAATGAGGCAGAAACCTGAACATAAAAAATTCTCGCACGACTGGAAAATCGTCCCAAACAGGGCAAAAAATCGTGCAGTGTATGCCCGGTTTTAAATAATCCCTTTATCCTGCAGGTATTCTAGAAAGTACCCAAAAGATGGCACTATTGCACTTAGAGGACATCTAAGTGCAGTAACAAGACTATATCTTAATGTGCCTTATTGTGATTAAGGATCTTAACTGTTGGTTTACATAGTAACTTACAATGTATTCAATTTAATTTATTCAATATAACAATCATTAATCTTAACTGTTGCCTTTTACTATATATTTCCTTCCAGCAAAGAGACAAAACATATTTCTCTTTCATCTTGCTTAGGATGAAGAGAACTCATATGAATTGTACAGGGATCTACAACGGCCAACAAGTGATCACTACCAAACGATCTCAACTGTTCACCATCACAAGAAAACCAAACAACCTCCACTACCAATAGAATAACTGTCAACCAAGATATATTTGGAATTGTGAAAATGATGAAAACCTTTTAACTAAAAACATGTCAAGATAAACACAGTTTTGATGAGCATTAGACTTTATTTTGTTCTCATGTTTGGTAAGAAAGATACACTGGAATAAAACTTGTTAAGACTTGTACGTGGAAACCTTTACAGCTTTCACTTTTATTTATGTTGTTTAGATAGATGGCATCTTTTCTGTCATTTAAAGAAAGAATCTACCTTATTTTGACTTTTTAATATAATTTGTATACATCTCTAAAAGTCAGAAATATGAAAGGATGACTTCTATATCATTATCTAATTCATGTGAAGGAATGTATTGCCCATGTACTGAATTTTGCCATACAAAGAAACTTGCCTTGTCTTTGAATAAACTTTCACCTTATAAATGTTTTTTTTTAGTTTTTCTTTGTTCTTAAACTACCACATAAAGAAAAAATGGATAAACTGGCATCCTAACTTTTTTTTTTTTTTCTCGATCAAACAGTCTCAAATTAAAGGACCTGCCCTCTTTCAGTCAGAATTTGTGTTGTGTATTTGTATCTTGCCTCTTGGCTTTTCTCATATCTAATTTTAATCCGATAAACATTACTTTTTACTTTGTAAGCAAAAAAAGTTATATACTCCTGCAAACATTTCAGAGTGTGGTTAAAAATGCAGATTTTATTACATTTTGTCTCATTTGACTGGTAAATTAAACTTCTATCCTATCTCCAACAGTAAGACAACAAACAATTACAAAAAATAATTAAATAAAGCCAATTCCGTAAAAATTCAAAAAATATCCACTGGACTTGGTTTTCAAGATTTGAAGACGTTTCGCCACCTCTCCAGGAAGCTTTCTCAATTTCTCAATTCATTTCATCGGTTTCCATTGCATGTTTCCAAGCGATACAAGGCGTTGTCTATATAAGACTCAAACTCACTGCGGATCCAGACATTTGAATTGAGAAAGCTTCCTGGAGAGGTGGCGAAACGTCTTCAAATCTTGAAAACCAAGTCCAGTGGATATTTTTTGAATTTTTACGGAATGACTTTGATCTGGATGACTGAGAACCTTCATCAGCATAAATAAAGCCAAGTAACCTGAGATGTATCTGTGATTTATGTTAAACCCAAGATGTTTGAAAGGGGTCATAGAATGATTCTATAGGGTATTTGCTGTTGGTCCTTAAGGTCTCTGAATAGGGTGTGTAAGATTGGTTGGCCTGAAAATGGCATATTTGCTTTTCTATGAGCCCTTATGCAAGCCTGGTTAAAAGCCTCAAAATGAAACGACAGGTTTGCTTCCTTTTATGGTATGCTCATGAATATTTAGATGAGCTGTGCGCTGATTGGTTGGTTTACAACGAGCGAAGCTTCTGAGCAAAGAGGCATCATAGCAACAAGCACTCACTCACTGAAACAACAAATTGTAAAAATGGTAGGGTGACCAGACGTCCTTTTTTTCCCGGTCATGTCCTAATTTTCATACCAGACCGTAGCCTGGACAACAGCAGCCCTGTGCATCCCCCCGCCCGCCTCACCGGGCATATCGTCACCGGGTCGGGTTCGGGCACCCCGTCCCCCGCTAGGGCCACCATTGATATGCTAGCATTGCTATCAACAGCTTAGCGACAAAATATTACTTACAGCTTGCGGTTGTGATGGCCTTACGGTCGGAACAGCTGGTCTGTATATCAATTTCAGGGTGAGACTAAAATACAGGTCAGAACCAAATAAGGCAAAATCCCTGAATTGACGTCAATTCGGCACTTCATTTGAATTAATTTGTTTTATGGTCTAAGTTTATAATTGTGAGATTTACAGAGAAAGGAGGTGCCGATGGGGTTTGAACTTCTCTGTACATCCATTTCACCCACTGAACTATCATTATTCATCTCTGACCATGTAAACTCGGTTTTGCATTCTATGACCCCTTTAACATAAACCACTATCAGAACTTTCCCTTCAGTTATCGTTTGTTAAGCAGCTTTAACAGCTGTTAAATGTTTCCTTTTAGCAGAAAGACAAACATTTGCTTAGTGTGAAGAGAACTGATGAATTGTAGATTACTTTAATGATTCTGCCCTTTCTGGACTTTTGAGTTCCCTTCCTCCCTAGAGGCCTCTAGTTTATGTTTTCTGAGTTTTTTGTTGATCATTTCTGGTTTATGGCTTCTGTAATTTTCATTCTTCATGCATTTTTTCAAGAAATCATATCTTTCTCTTCAGCTCTGTGTTTGGATCTTCAAAAAGTAAATGAAAAACCTAAAAAATTAGAGGAATGTGATGCTTTACTGGTTTAGCAGGTGGATGACGGACAATATCACACCTTGAAATGGTTTGTCATGCTTTGTTATAAGCAGCTTACAGTAAACCACCCCTTAACCACAAATATACATTAATGGACTTGTTCATCGGAACATCTTTCTAACTTAACATATATACATATCTGATGACCCCATTGCAAACATGACATTTACATCTTCAATCTTACCAACCCACTATAGTTGGAAAACACAAGAAGGGAAGTCCTTTAGTGTGACCTAAAAGCAGAGCCAACTAGACTTCTTATCAGTTTTTTGTTACTTAGTTTTTTCTTTCTTATGTTTTTCAACACCTATCCAGAAGTCATTCTCCTTTCTGGGGGCTTACACTAAAGTAATCTTTGCCATTAAATACATGGAGCTCAATTCTACTAGATGGATTCCAAGTCAAATTCCAGTCAATGGCCCCTCTTTTGTTCTAATGGTAAATGGAATCTGTTGTTTGGTGAATCTGAATCTTAATGAGTCTGTGTATATTCTTTTCGAACAAGTTTCAAAACAAGATTATATATGATGCCTAGTTTCCTTTCCTTGCCCCAACTTGACTTTCCTTTTTTGATCTCTGCTGTTCTTATGTCGAATTTAAATTTAACATTTATTAATGCTGTAAATAAAAAAAATTAATTAAGCTTTCAGTGTGCTGTTATTCTGCTCTACCGTTAGACCTTTATTAATATTAAGAAGTGATTCCTAGAGATGTGGCAAAGCCCTATTGAAGTGACATATTAAAAGGTGATAGATCATACTGGAGTCATAATCTATGTCAGCCTCCAGGAAGTTGACTTCTTGTATTATCAGCTTGCATTAATCTCTGTACATGAAAACCACACAGCAAACATGACAGTCACATCTTCAGGCCTACTGACCCATTGCTGTGGCAGAAAACAAGGCAAAAAATCTTCGATCTATGGTGTCTGATCTAAGAGGCTCTAATACAAAAATCTGTTATTTGTTATTATTAATAATATTTGATTTTTAAACAGATTTCTAAACCCACAGTCTAACTGCAATGATGGGATCTGCTGAGATGCTTTCATTTTGTGTGTTCTGTTGTTTTAAAGAGAAAAGTGCTCCAGTTAACACATTCGTTATGTATATGAAAACCACAAAGCAATTCATATCTTCAGTCCTGCTAACCCACTATTGTTGCAGTAAACAAGACAAGACGTCTTTAATCCATCTTATCTGATCTAAGTCGCTTCACTGCATAGATCTATTATCAGTTGTTCATAGAAATAAAAAAAAAATTATTAAACAAATCTCTAAACCCACATGATAGTTAAACTCCAATCATAAGATATGATGTGATGCATCAATGTTGTGTGTTATATTGTTTTAAAGATAAATGCCAACTATTCAGGTTAACACATTTTTTAGAAAGGTTTCACATCCTCTTTGAGGTCGGCCCCCAATGTTTAGAGTTATGTTTAAGAAATCTCTCTTTAGTGCAGCATAGCAAACTCTACCATGGCAGCAGGTCGGATGGATGCACTGACAACCAGCTTTTTACTGCTTCTACCAAGTTTCGCAAGCTTCTTTGACAGTAAAGGTAATATAAAGAGATGAATGTTCAATAAGTTGTATTTTGAGTTGTTTTAAATTAGAAGCTTTTAGTTTCTATTGGGTCTGAATCATTTTAACTGATTAATTCAAATTTGCTGTTTGCAGTAACTCTTTTAAAAACGGTCAGAAAAGAACCAGATTACACTCCAATCTGCACCAATGAATCGTCAAATATCATCATCATTATAGCGTGTCAGATCAGAACAGAGAGAAACAAAGGAGAGGAGTGCCGTCTGCTGTACAGGGATGGAGGCGACTTTGTTCATGAGTGTGACTCCAGGTTCACCCTTAAAACATTGAATCACACTGTGTTTCTGCACCTGACCAGTTTAACTGCGGCTGACAGTGGGAACTACACCTGTGAGTGTGCAAAACTTGATGGGATATTTATTCTTCATCTCAACATCATAGTTAAAGGTAAACATATTTCATATTACCTGAAAAAGTTAAATTAGTTCAGTATTCTCAAATATTTTTTTTTATGTCCCAATCTAATGCTTTCCTGAAGATAATGGAGAAGATGAGAATGAGAGATGCTTTTCAGAAGTGACCCTTCCTTCTGCTTTGACTGCTGCTGCTCTCTTATTTACTATAGTTTTAATTATTGTGGGATTTGTTCACAGAAGACATCTACCCTGGTGAGAAACTAATTTATATTTCTAGGTTCCTCTTCTACTATGAGTTTTACTTTAGTGCTAAAACCATTACTCTTCTATGTAACCTTTGGTTTCTACCTACATTTTATAAATAATCATTCCATCTTCTTTAAAGGAAAATTATGATTTTTTGAAACAATTTGATCATACAATCTCCAGATGACTACATTTCAATAAACTAACCTGGAGTTTCTTTCATATTTAAAGCACCCGTTTAAAATCTGAAGCATCTGCATCATCTGTACAAGGATCAGTTGCCCCTAAAGTGAGTAATTATTTTATAAATAACAATTTCTGAGCTTCATAGAATGCTTTGCTCAAATTCTTTTTAATCCTGCAAAAGCCTTATTATTTTCTCTTAGCTACTTTTCATACCATTTCAGAGATGGAAAAACATGTTAAGTCCAGCAGGCTATTTTTTATTCAGTCATCTTTTTACTCATCCATTCAGTGGTGGTTTTGATATAGGTCATATGGGCAGTTGCCCAGGGCTGCAATACAAATAGGGTTAATTATTTTATTTATTTTTTTGGGTTGTCTTGTGGAACAGTAGGACAGTTGACTCACCTGCTTCCTACAATTAACATGGAGACTTAGTTTTGTGATCAGCTATGGAATATACACTGCCTGGCCAAAAAAAAAGTCACCACCACAAAAAAAGGCCCTTCACTCTAATACTTTGTTGGACCGCCTTTAGCTTTGATTACGGCACGCATCCGCTGTGGCATTGTTTCGATAAGCTTCTGCAATGTCAAAAGATTTATTTCCATCCCGTGTTGCATTAAGTTTTCACCAAGATCTTGCATTGTTGATGGTAAAGGCTGACCGCTGCGCAAAGCCCTCTCTCTTCCCAAAGATTCTCAAGAGGGTTGAGGTCTGAACTCTGTGGTGGCCAATCCATGTGTGAAAATGATGTGTCATGCTTCCTGAACCAGTCTTTCACCATTGAGCCCGATGAATCCTGGCATTGTCATCTTGGAATATGCCTGTGCCATCAGGGAAGAAAAAATCCATTGATGGAATAACCTGGTCATACAGCATACAGGTAGTCAGTTTACCTCATTCTTTGAGCACATACTGTTGCTGAATCTAGACCTGACCAACTGCAGCAACCCCAGATCATAACACCGCCCCCACAGGCTTGTACAGTAGGCACTAAGCATGGTGGGTGCATCACATCACCTGCCTCTCTTCTTAACCTGATTCGCCAATCACTCTGGAACAGGGTAAATCTGGACTCATCAGACCACATGACTCTTCCATTGCTCCACAGTCCAATCTTTATGCTCCCTAGGAAATTGAAGCCTTTTTTTCCGGTTAGCCTCACTGATTAGTGGTTTTCTTACGGCTACAAGCTGTTCAGTCCCAATCCCTTGAGTTCTCTTTGCATTTTGCATGTGGAAATGCTCTTACTTTCAGTATTAATCATAGCCCTGAGTTCTACTGTTGTTTTTCTTCGATTTGATCTCACAACAGGTTTAAGTGATAGCCGATCACAATCATTCAGGATTTTTTTCCTGCCACATTTCTTCCTTGAAGATGATGGGTCCCCACTATCCTTCCAGTTTTTAATAATGCGTTGGACAGTTCTTAACCCAATTTTAATAGTTTCTGCAATTTCTTTAGATGTTTTCTCTGCTTGATGCATGCCAATGATTTGACCCTTCTCAAACAGACTAACATCTTTTCCACGACCACGAGATGTTTCTTTCGACATGGTTGTTTAGGAAATGAGAAGAAAGTCATTGCACCAGTTGGGGTTAAATAACTTGTTGCCAGCTGAAAGATAATCGCCAATGAAGTAATTATCCAATAGGAGGCTCGTACCTATTTGCTTAGTTGAATCCAGGTGGCGACTTTTTTTTTGGCCAGGCAGTGTATGTTCAAACTCTAACATGACAAGGATCCTTGAGTACTTTGCCTTGAAGTAACATAAAAACCCAGAAGACACAGTCCACAGAACTAAATAAAGCCAAATTAGCTGAGCGTTTGTTTGATGTATTACCATGAACCACATCTAGATCTCTAATTTTTTTCATAAAGTTGCTTTAAACTTTTTCTGTCACTTAGTTAACACCTGCTGTCTCGGTAGGAAGGCTGCTATTTATTATTGGTTAATAACCAAAAAAAGTTTCAAATCCAAATGCGTAACAATTCAATAAATTCAAGTTTATGTTGGAAGTATTCTAGATAGTAACCAGAAGATGGTGTTGCACTTAAAGGACATCTGGGTTTATAATCAAACTAGATCTTCTCTGTATTTGAACTGTGTGAACAGACCTTTCTTTATTATACCAAAAACAAAACAAAAATTATAAACAAAAAAACTGAGTGACTTAGTATCTTAAAAGAATTTTAATTGATTTCTTTTAATTAACTACTTTGACAACTTTTGAAATGTTACTGTCTCCAGAGAGACCAAAGGATTTCTATTTCTCCTTGCTTAGGGTGAAGAAAACTCAAATGAATTGTACAGAAGTCTTCAGCAGCCAACAAGAGATCTCTACCAAACAGTTTCCTCTGGTCACCATCAACAGGAAACAGAAAAAACCGCAGTCAGCAACAGAGTAAATGTGAACCTGAAAAATCTGGAAATGAGAAGAAACCATGAAATCTATGAAAACCTTTGAACCACAACTGTCAAGATGAGAACTGTTTGATAAACATCAGGCTAAATCATTTTGATATCCCTTATTGAGCAAGATCAACCCTTCTTCACTAAATTAGTTTTTGATGGTAGCATTTTTATGTTTGTTTTTGTTTTGAGAGAATCTTATCATTAAATACAACAGGTTTTTATCGGACCATCAATAAAATGCCTTTTTACTGCTGCTGCAGTATCTTTGCAAAGCTGCTAGTTAAAGATGACTGTACAAAGACATTTCCTGTAGAGATCGGCCACATTATAAGACCAGTGTGTTGCAACTATATTCATGACTAGAATCCCATGTCAACTTCCTAAACTAACATTTCCTCACATTTTTAATAAGCTTTACATAACAATGGCTAGTGTGTTGGATAAATACTCTGCTAGATAGGCTTTAGAAAAGGACTTCTCAGTTCAAGCTAGATGTTATTTGTGAAAATTGACGTCCTAGTAGGAAATTATAGGTGCAACTCAATGGACATGTTATAGCATTATGAATGCAAAAAGTGCCTTTTTTCAAACATTTACTATGTCAGATTACATTACTGTGATGCTGTAATGCTTTAGCAGGTGATCGATGGACACCACACCTAAAAACGTCAAAATGTCTGGTTTTGAGCAGCTCAAACTACATCTTTTCAGCTTTCACTTTTAAGTTGTGTTGTTTAAATAGATGGCATCATCTTTTCTATACAAACTAAAACTGTTTAATATGATTTTCCTTTTGTACATAATTTGTATATTTCTTTTGACAACTTCTACTCTATAATTGTTTTTTGTTTTGTTTTTTGGTACATTAAACTTTCCAGAAAGCCATTTCTAATGTTATCTTGAGTTGAAGGACCTGTCCTCTTTCCATCAGAGTTTGAACTAACTTTGTGTATCCCAACTTCTTGGCTCTTCTCATGGCTAATTGTAATCTGATTAAACATTCATTATTACTGTAAATAACAAAAAAGTGACATACTGCTGGAAACAATACATTTTGTGGTTAAAAATGCTGTTTTTATTGTATTTTGCTTTTCTATTTATAAACATGGTTCTGTTTGAGACATATAGGGAGCGGCAAGTGACATCATTTTCATCAGCCTGCAGGATGATGATTTCTTCTCCTACCAGACTATATTCAGTGTTCTTTATATTTAAGACCACAAAGCAAACATGACCTTTACATCTTAAATCTTAGCAGCACACTGTAGTTGCAGAGCAAGGAGTCCTCCATCTCTGTAGTGTGACATAAGAACTCAATCTCCGTTCTTCAAGATTAATATTAATAATAGTCAGTTATTTTGGTTTTTAAGCAAACTATTGACCAAACAAGACAATAACTGTAAACTGTAATAATAAAAAAAGCAGAAATATCTCCAGTTTATCTATTTAATTGTTTAATGAGTAGTGTTCATGTAGAGACGTTTCCTTTTTTCATCTTTTTTGTACCATTTTCAGAGATGAAATGTGTGACTCAGTTAAGGGTATAAGGGGTAGTTTAAAGGACCTTTCTTCAGTGCAGCAGTTTAGATGGATGCAGTGAGAATCAGTGTTTTACTGCTTCTGTCATTCTTTGCGGGCTTTTTGGACAGTGAAGGTAACAACAAAGGTAATAAAGAGACCATTTATCTTGAAGTTGCGCTTTAAGTTGTGAACTATGAACTTTCAGTTTCTGTTAGCCAAGTATAATGAGATATGAATTAGTTTTTATGATTTCAACATATTCATACATATTATTTTTTACTTTTTACAGTGATTCATATGAAAACAGTGGGGAATGAACCAGATCTTACTCCACTTTGCACTAATAAACAGCAAAAATAATCATACTGATGGTGCTTAGACAAGATAATCCACAACAGTGGATTATCTTGTCATATATATGTACATGAAAAAACTTAGATCATGTGGCTATCAGCGTTTAATGATTACAACTAACAGTATAAATATCAACTAATTATTACATCAGTCCATGTGTAAATGAGGATGTTGTTACAGCCCCATGGCTGTCCTGTTTCTACTTATTTTTTTGCTCTGCTGCCCTCCTGTGTTTTTTTAAAGTATGCCTATTGTACTGGGACATTTCCTACAGTTCCTCGTTTCCATTTTCTGAACCACTGCATCCCTCTATTGGGGAACTTTGTAAAATGCTTTAAGGTTTACTTGTTTCACACAGCCTGGATAAAGGTTACCTGGAAAGTGGCTCAATTAGCCAGGGGCAGAGCTAGAAGGGGTGCCAGGGGTGCCTGTGATATGCTCAATTGAAATGAACTAACTTGATTTTTCACTTGTTAGTATAGTAACCTTACAACTACAACTTAATTACCAGAAATGAATTATTAATTAATCAGTATACTAACATTAAATAAATAAATAAAAAAAAAGCATCAGAGTAGGAATAGGCCATTCAGCCAGATCATAAAAGATTGTATTTCATAATAAAAACATTTAATTGTATTTTTTTATTCTGCAATTTTGTAGCCTGTCCATTAGATGGTGCTCCAGGCCTGTATCGCCTATGGGCAAAGCCAGTATATATCTATATATCTAAATTATAGAGAATAGCTGACATTTTAGCTGGATAATTGTGCAGGTTTCCTTTGGATGTAGGGTTGTACATCCAGAACCAGCTGCAAACCTTGTTCTGTAACTTAGTCAACATCAACTGTTTCTTGAGAAAGGTTATGATTGGTTCCGGCTTGATTAACAACAG